AAGTACTACTTGTACTACTATTCCTACTTTGCAGTTTTTCACTTGTCGCGGGACTTAAGGGTACGGATCCCCTGCAATACACAAGGGACTACTGTACACCTAAAACTGATTACTTTAAAGTAAACAATTAAAAATAGCTGTTATAGCTAAGCAATCTTAGCTAACAAAACTGGCTATAACTGAGTCAGTTTTGAATATTTTGGACTAAAATTTAGTGTGGTAGTAGCTGACAATCATTCCCAACGCATGGTTTGAGTGTTGACAGATTGTGCAGGATGTTGTAATGTTGCTTGAAGTGGTGCATGACTACATGTTCAAGGTGTCCCTTCCTATCATAACGTGATATCTGTTTAAATTATCACCTTTATTTTAGTTTTTTTTTTTTCTGCTCTCTGCAGCCTCTGTATGACACAGCATATTTGACGCTGTACAACATCAGCTTCACATCCCTCCCCATCCTCCTGTACAGCCTGGTTGAGCAGCACGTCACCATGGAGACACTGAAGAGAGAACCCTCGTTGTACAGGTGAAGAAATGAGTCTCCACCCTGATTTGTGTGTTGTTTATGGCTGCCATGATAACATGTTTGTTTGTGCCTGTTTGTTTTAGGGACATTGCCAAGAACTCCCTCCTCCGCTGGCCTGTCTTCCTCTACTGGACATGCCTGGGTGTGTTTGACGCCTTCATCTTCTTCTTTGGTGCCTACTTCCTGTTTGACAACACCACCTTCACCAGCAATGGCCAGGTGAGCCTCTGTACTGTATCTGGTTTAGGAAAAGACAGGTAGAATTGTTTTTATGGGTAATACACTTAAAAAAAGGCCAGGTATGGCATTTGGTTTAGTATTTAAAGTGTCTTTTATTGAGACAAAGCCATCAAAAACCCTCACTCATCTTCACTGGATTATTTTAGTGCAATATTAAGCTTATGGGGTTAACTTTATGCTAATTGTTTTGTGTGAACAGTTCTGTATCAGTAAATTTTCTGTCCCAGTCCCCCAAATAGATTTGTAACATTGGATCTCCATTCATATCGACAACACAATAGCATCTTTCTCTGTACCGTTAATTTGTACCATGTCAACTGTTTTAATTGCCTTTGGTCCTGTTTTTTAAGTTGAAACATCCTGAGATTCATTTTACCTTTTGTCCTGATTCTTTTCTCTTTTTCTTCCCCCCTCCTTTTTTCTTGCTTCTTCGCTCTTTATTTTGCTCCTCTCTTCCTCCTCTCCCCCTCCTCTTCTTCAGCTTATGACCACCAACACACAGATGGTAAGCCTGTCTCCCTCCCTGTCAACTCTCTCTGTCTCTCATTTCCCTTTGAGTTCCTGTCATTTATTTCAGTTTGACCGTTTCATCCTTCCTCACCTTGCATAATTCATGCACTTTCATTTAAGTGTGTTAATTTTCTAGAGCCACATATTCCCTGCCTAATAATCAGCCAAACTGAATCCTGCACAGTACCTGGTCTTAACCTCTTCACTGACAGTAGACATTTTAGCTGCTTCTCCATATTATCCTTGTGTTGTGGTAGTGAATAAATCAAAATAATGTGTGGAAATGCTTTAGCATCTGTTGTTTTTCTATCTGTTGTGTTTGTGCATTTTTGTATGTATTTGTGTGTCTGTCTGGTTTGTTTTCACTGCTTCTTCAAATCTAAAACAAATAAATGTCTTAAATGTAAAATAAAAATGCAAATAATGATGAAATTCCAATAAAGATAGATATTTTATTCCACCATCAGCCAGCTTTAACTCTTACATGAGTAGTCTAAGTAGTCTAACTTCTGTTTGTTAGCCATGTTTTTCCTTACCCCCCCCCCCCCCCCCCCATACTCCAATCCCATCTGTTATCTCCTGATGTCCGCTTCTTCTTTCTAGGATTTTAGTGAGTAGAAAATGTGAATGCTATAGAGGAATTTTTGAAGCTTATTTGTCACAAACCTTAAACCAAATTTGACACAATGTTTTAAATCTCACACATCACTTCCTACTTTGGATATGAGGGTGTTTATGTTCCTCCTTTATGTGCTCACAGATGTTCTTTAATATTGTAGGATGTAGACTAGATAATGCTGACGGTGGCTACTGACCATCTTCTTCTCTTCTCTCACAGATGTTTGGAAACTGGACATTTGGGACACTCGTCTTTACTGTATTGGTGTTCACCGTTACACTCAAGGTATGTTAGCACTTGACCTTGAAGATCAAAAAACTGTTATGGTTACATAGCAAAATCCCTTTTTATGAAGTCATTTGAATTGTAGAGCTTCATGCACTTTCATTTTCATGGCTTAGTTTTCTGCATTGTGGACGACCAAATGTTATGTATAAACACTGACCGCTTTGGGTTTTCAGTGGCTAATTTATAAACATATTTGTCTTTGGCCCATAATTACAACAATTTAATATTTATACCAATTTCAGTCTTCTAAATAAAAATAAATAAATAAATCAGTTATTGCCTATGATTTACCCTTGGGCTCATTCAGGGTCAGAACATTTTCCCATCAGTACTTTACATATTCAGTAGTCCCTCGCTACTTCGCGGTTCGTTTATCGCGGGTTCACTATATCACGGATTTTCAAAGTAAGATTGGACATGACTCTGTTGGCTGATTGATGGATGAGCCATGGGTTGTTTATTTGTAATAAATTATTTTAAATGATTTTGTACCATGTGTGCAGCCCACAAGTGCAGGAGGAAGCTCCCTCCTGCAGCTGATCAGCTGATCTCCTTCTCTGCCACACACATTTCTCCTGCTGCAGCTTTGTGACGGGTTAACCCTTTGCTGTCCAAATGCACCGATTGATTTTTGTCTTCCAACTTAAAATTCAAAGTATGTCGCATCGTAAAATCATCATAAATCACAAAGTATAAAAGTCTTTAAAGTTATTTTTAATTATTTTATAACTTCTATGTTCAGTTGTTGAAGTGTAATTGATCTTCAACAAGTACATTTCTGCTCCGTGCTGCAGAGCTGAAGCTGTGTGACATCCCTTTGATGTCCTGCTGCACTTCACTTCTCTACGATTTAAATTTAAATACTGTAATATTTTAAATAAACAATCCATGCTCTATGGATTGTTTATTTAAAATATTACAGTATTTAAATTTCAATTGTTTGTTTAAGGAGGGAGATTGGGAATAACGTGATGAGTGTGATTACAGCCTGGCACATGTCATGACAAAGTTTACTGAACTTGAACTGAACTTGGACTACTGTATCTCTACTTCACTGTTTTTCACTTATCACGGGTGGGTGTGGTCCCTAACACCCGCGATAAACGAGGGACTACTGTACTTGATGAAATGCTTCCTATGAATACAAGTCCAAGTGTAGAGTTATTTATATTTCTTTTAAAACTAATAATTTTTTTATCTAACCAATTACATACAGAGCTCTTAAAGATAAGAGTTGTGGTCACTGGCAAATGCAACGTGGTTGTTTCAAAAGTTAGTGTAGTATTTCTGTCAAAATCCTAAATGTGGTATTTCAGGAGAAATGACTATTAAATCTACTGTAATTTCTGAACTATTGAGCACACCCGAATATAAGCCACGCCCACTGAATAAATAAAATAATAATAATTTTGTACATACACAGTATATAAGCCGTGGGTGTCCATGTTGTAACATGATATGTTTACATAAATATTTTTAAACATTTAATGAAATATGTATCAGTAACATACACAAATATGTACAGTAAATGTTTTTTTTTTTTTTTTGGGGGGGGGGGGTCTCAAGAGTGCCTGTAATATAGCTGATTCAAAAAATTTAAATAAAAATACAGTAGTCTACCAGGAATCACTGATCAACTTCCTCTTGCGCAGTGTGCAGGAGGAAGGTGAAGTTCTGGCGAAGTTCAAAGATATATAAATATATATCTATATATAGATATATATAGATATAGATAGATATATATATAGATATAGATAGATATATACATAGATATAGATATAGATAGATAGATAGATAGATAGATAGATAGATAGATAGATAGATAGATAGATAGATAGATAGATAGATAGATAGATAGATAGATATAGATATATATATAGATATATATAGATATATATAGATATATATAGATATAGATGGACCCGAAAGTCCCAGGTTCGATCCCCAGTCACTGCACATCACGTGGCGTCTCTGGGCAGCACGTCTCATCCCCAAAATGCCCCCCGGGCGCTTTCAATAGCTGCCCACTGCACCACCTGGTGGTGGATGGGTTAAATGCAGAGACTAATTTCGCCATTGTATGGAAACATACAGTGCTGACATTGTGATGACATTATTATTATTGAGGACCAGATTTAACTTTTTTAGATTTTTCTACCTGGATTATTGAGCATGCATCAGGATATTATTATTATTATTATTATTATTATTATTATATATAGATATAGATAGATATATATATATATATAGATATATAGATATATAGATATATATAGATATAGATATATATATAGATATAGATATTTATATAGATATATAGATATAGATATAGATATATAGGTATATATAGATAGATATATATATAGATATAGATATACATCTATAGATATAGATATATATTTATATATATGTAGCACGGTGGCGCAACTGGTAGAGCTGCTGCCTCTCAGCGAGCAGGTCCTTGGTTCAAACCCCGGTCCAGGGGCCTTTCTGGGTGGAGTTTGCATGTTCTCTCCGTGCATGCGTGGGTTTTCTCCGGGTACTCCGGTTTCCTCCCACAGACCAAAAACATGCATGTTAGGCTGATTGGTAACTCTAAATTGTCCCTAGGTGTGAATGAGATAGTGAATGGTTGTTTGTCTGTATGTGGCCCTGTGATGGACTTGCGACCCGTCCAGGGTGTACCCCGTCCCTCGCACAGTGATTGCTGGACATGGGCACCAGCGACCCCCGTGACCCAAAATGGAATAAGCGGGTAAAGTTAATGGATGGATATATATGTATAAATTAGCCGCAGCATTTTATAAGCTGCAGTGTTCAAAGCGTGTGGAAAAAAGTAGTGGCTTGTAGTCCGGAAATTACGGTAGTTGGTACTCAAAATGTTTGGAAAACTGCGAGCAAGTGCACAACTTTTTCATTGCAGTCCTACTGAATTCTGAGTCTTTGTGACCAAGTGACCAGTGAGTTGAGCGGCTAGTTTTAAAGTCGTGTGTTTTTGTGTGCACAGTTTACAAAACCATGTTCTAGACTGCTCTTTATTTTGTTTCCCACCTCCACCCGCATCTTACTTGTCTCAGCACATTTTGTGCTCCCCTTGGCAGACGCCCCCAGTGTTTATTATTTAATCTACAGGAGTACACTTTTTTAAATTGTGGATAAACAGATTTGAAATAGTTTTTTAAATTATTATTTTTTTATTAAATATGTCGCGCAGATATTTTTAACTTGTTTAAAACGTAAGATTGTGAGCTTACTTGAGTAAATTAAGTAAATCCACCATCTGCTCCCTAAACAGGTCTCTCTTGAAAATGAGTCCTCGTGGCTCAATGAGACTACCTGGATAAATAAAGGCTAAATGGAAAAAAAAATTGAAAACAAGTTTGAACATTTTGATACATTTTACAGATTCCCTCACAAATGCTGTTTGTCAATTAGTTGCCAACAGTTGCAGTCCAGATATATAATGGCTTTAGAGTCTGTTAATGTTAAATATAAATGTTAAAGCCTTGTTTTTTGTTGTGTTTTTAATTACCTGACTGTTCCAATCATTTGAAAAATGGCTAAAAGTGGCCTAAGTCATTGTCTGACCAATCAATCAACCTGTTCTTAACAACGTTTCATAAATTACTGACTAAAGTTTCCACAGTGATTAAAGTAATATGTCTAGTGTTGTTGACTGTATTCAACTTTATTGACAGGTTTGGTCTTTATGATTTTTTTCCTTGTTTCAGCTTGCCTTGGACACACATCACTGGACTTGGATCAACCACTTTGTTATCTGGGGATCACTACTTTTCTATGTTATATTCTCTCTCCTCTGGGGCGGCATCATTTGGTAATGTTACTCATTGATTTGACTACGAATTATAAAGCCGATGTTTTTAAACCGGTCCCGTCTGAGAATCCATTTCTGTTTCCTGTTGCTCATTAGGCCCTTCCTGAACTACCAGAGGATGTACTACGTGTTTATGCAGATGCTGTCCAGTGGTCCGGCATGGCTCAGCATCATCCTCCTCATCACCGTCAGTTTGCTGCCAGATGTCATCAAGAAGGTTCTCTGCAGGGCCACATGTCCCACAGCGACCGAGCGCGCACAGGTAAAAACCACAAACTGTTTACTACTTCAAAATTAGGCCTCTAGTGATCTCTATTAGTGTCACTAAGTCCATTTTACAACTGATTAGCTAATGTATTCCCTTTCCCAAATGAAATCAGCAGTGAATTTAGTACGCAATAAAATAGTAGTTCTCTTGAATCTTAGCTCAGAGTGTGCGATCTTTTGACACTATAAAAGTAAGCTGTAAATGTATTCCTATTAATCATCCAGGAAGATCATTAAGTCACTTGATAGCTTCAAGCATTAGCTTAAAGTGACTTCCTGTCCCCTGTAGCTTAGCTTCACCATGAAAGAATTACAGAGTGAAAGATCTGACTGGATTCTTCCTGCTGTGCTCTTTCTCCTCTTTCCCCCTATTGGATCACCACATTCAAAACTGACACCATTCCCTGTTGCTCTTTATTTTTTTCTATTTGACCTTTTTCTCCTTTTCTTGTTTCTTCCTTCCTTTCCATTGCTATTTTCTCTTTTCTCCCCCTTCATTTCTATTTCTCCTCCCATTTGACTGTGGCTCTCCGACACTCTTTCGTGCTAACTGCAGTCCACCCGCCCGTGCCTTACCGTAGAGCCGTCCACTATCTTCATGCTTTCTCAGTCCTCCAGCAGAATGAGTTTCTGATTGGACCAGAGATCCAAGAGAGGAGCAGGAGGGGGAGGTGACTCTTTTAAGCTCTCATGTCTGTGTGCATGGTGGCATGGTCCAGTGTAAACCACTTGTCTCGGCCTAAAATCATCTAAAACCATCTACTGATGACGTCACCTGGTCGTATTTGTATGCCAAGTTGCATTTTGTTAGTCATTCCTCGTCTTCACGTTTTTTTGTGTCCCATCTTTTCCCAAGATGTATGCATTTAATTTACTTTATGCACTTTATGTTATTGTTTAGTGGTGGTTTTTCATTAACTTTGTCACAATTAATTTTTCAGTAGTTCAGAGATTCAACGATTGTAGTTTTTGATTTCCAATATTTCCAAAGCTCTGACCAGCTTTGATTTCTTTTCAAGAACTATAGTTGAAAGCAGACAAAAAAAATCTAATTTATTAATAAATGGACAAGTTAAATATTTGCTCATATTAAACTTATTTTTCCCTAAACAACACTAGTTTACCAAGCCTTCTCTGTCTGTCACTGGATGTCTACAAACATCACGAGACAAGCCTGCAAAGCTGAAAAACAGTCACCTGCTGATCAATCGCGGTTCCCTACTACAATTAAATTTGAAAAATATATTCATTATAAAATCTAAAATGTGAAGTTTCTTGTCCTCTAGTAATTACTTTGTCTATCCATAAATATTAAAGTGAAAGCTGTAAAGCATTCCTTCAGTGTGGCTGCTTCAGACAGATTGATTGTTTCAACTTGAGAAATTGCATTTCCTGTGAAAATGCAGTGTGGATGCTTGCTGCAGAAGAACTTGTAAGCAGTATGTTTAAACAGCTTGTAAACAGATTAAATGAGCTAAAAACATGCTGAAATATACCTGAAATAGATGGTGTACCTTAGTTTAGCAGGAGAAAACAGAAAGAACACATATTTACTGAATTAGGTTTAAATAAGCAGAAATGAGCACAAAAATTAGAAATAGCTAAAAAAAACTGAAATTAACAAAAAAAATAGTGGAAAGTTGCTGAAAAGGCAGAAAGAAACAAACTACCACAAGGAAGCAGAAGGAGCTGAAAGGAGCTAAAAAAAAATTGGAATTGCCTAAGAAAGCTAAGTAAAAACAGCTAAATAGTAGCTGAAATAGTAGAAAAAGTTGAAACTAGTAGAAATAAGCTGAAAGAAGCATAACAAGCTGAAATCATCAGAAAGAAGTTAATTAAGCTGAAAATAGCATAAATTACTATGGAAAAACTTGAATTTATCTGAAAATAGTTGAAATTAGCTAAAAAATGCAAAAACTTAGCTGAAAGGCTAGAACAAGCTTACAGCAAAGTAGCTGAACAAACAGAAAAGCTGAAACTTGCAGAAAGAAGCTGAAAGGAGCAGAAAGAAGTTAGAAGAAGCACAGAAATGTTGTAGTTAGCAGAAAGAATTTGAAAGGAGCACAAAACAGTTGATAAAACAGCTGAAAGTTGTTGAAAAAAGTTTAAATTTGCTGAAAGAAGCTGAACCAGAACAAAATGTGAAAGGAGCAGTAAAAGGTTGTAAACACATCTAAAGATTTGAAGGAGGTAAAATGAGCTCAATTCATTTTCTATGTGAAAAAAGTGGTAGAAAAGGCTAAATATTTAAAAAAAGCTATAGTTGCACCAATACCAAAAGTCATAGCAGGATTGTCCTGAAAGAGCTGAACGTTTTGATTTATGATTTGTTGAAATAGCTGAAAACTGCGGGACAAGAATCGTGCCTAAAAACGTACAGAAGAAGCGAGGATCACAATAGTGTGAATGCTTCATAAACATTCACACATGGCTCTTCATAAGAGAGTAAATATGAGCTCAGGCAAGTTTTTAATGTACTAATTTGTAACTTGTGCTCTTTGTGTTTTTATTCTTTATAAACACTGACCTGCAGATGTAAGAAATTACAGATCATTACCTGAGCCTGACTATAAAAAGTAGCACAAGCTCTTAACAAGAAAAATTATTGATTTAAAATCTTTATGCTTTAACATAATTTTAGGAGAAATCGTAATTATGAACTCTTGTAAAACTCAAACTGTGATGAGCATAGAACCTTACATTCACAAACAGATGCTTAAAATCAACGAAAAGATCAAAAAATATATAAATGAATCAGATGCTAAATAAATTTGCAGTTGAAACAGAAAATTAGTCTTTTCATGGAAACTTTGTCCTCCGAGTGAAAAAAGGGACCAACCAGGATATCAGTCCAAAGTCCAGATCAGAGTATTTACACTTTAAATATTTGTCTCTGAGTCATGTTTCTTAAATTATGCTTCTTAAAAAAAGTGACATTTGCAGTTTTCTTCATAGACTTATTTAGTATTTTTAAAAACATTTTATAGATTTAATAATCTGAAGGTCAAAATTTGATTTGAACACTTGACAAAAAACACTGAGTTACTTGTGCATCGATTAAAATGCTCACTGGGATTATCAGTCTAAAATTAATTTAGTATAAAGACTAAATGTAGTTTAGTCAAATTAAATTAAACATGTAATAATTTAGAAAGCCTGTTTATCAAACTTGGAGTGTAAAGAGAAAATCAACATCAGCTGAGCTTCAATCTCCCGTCAGCTTTAAGCAGACGTAAATACAATCTTCCATATTTGAGGCAAACGCACATTAGAGAGATTTCTGTTACCTATTCTTTAACGTCATTGGGGGGGGGGGGCATTGGGGGGGCTGTGGCCCTGCTGCTGGTGGAGGAAGGAATGAGAGGGATCATCTTCACCCTGATAAGGATTTTGAAGGGGACCGTGGAGAAAAAGCAGCTATAACTCATGACATTATGACGTCACACAGCCACAGCATCAAGTGTCAAACTCAAGGGGGTCACAAATGAAAACTTCTATCAGTACATTAACTCCAGTCTGATACAAGATATCTTCTCTTGGTTGGAGGTTCCTTAACAAAAGTTTCATCTGCCTCATTTGATGTTCTCAGTCGCGTTTTCAAAATCATATTGTGAAAATAATAATAATTTTGGTTTCAGCACTGGCTGACTGTCACGAGAAGTCTGTACTAAATCAAGTATGCACAGACTTTTTAAGTAAAATGAGAAGCAATAAAATTATTTAATTTTATAATATCATCTTGGGGGCCAGATAGGATGTTAACAAGGGCCATATTTGGCCTTGAGTTTAACATGTGTGCAGAGTCCCCCCTCCATACACACGAGTCACAGCTCAAGGTGTGTTGATCACTGGGTGGTCTTACTGCTGTCGCTATGATCCCCTGGACCACTCTGATTACATGGAGTTGTTCTGTTTCTCAGACTAATGCGACTGTCCTGAAAACATTTTCCTCTCTGAACTTACTTTTCAATAATCCATCCATTATCTTTACCTGCTTCTTCCTTCGGGAGTCACTGGTGCTCATAGCCATCACTGTGTGAGAGGTGGGGGACACCCTGGACAGGTCTCCAGTCCATCACAGGGACACATAGAGACAAATAGCCATGCATTCTCTCACTCACACCTAGGGACAATTTAGAGTTACCAAGAATCAGAATCTCTCATTAGGACCGCTGCTCTACGTTCACAGCTGGCCGTTCTTCTCGGTGCTTTGGGGGATGGAAATTATGTGATCTGAGCAGCAAACGAATGAGAAATTTCAGCTCGTTTTTTAAATTAAAGTGCAGCTACTTAAACTCAGTTTTTTTAGTTTGTAGTTCAAAACAAATAAAGTAAATTAAGAGGGTCAAAGATTTCTGAGGCACAGGGTTTAGTTGTGTAATGTAAAATATCTGTGTTGTTTATACAAACTTAGTTAGTATTAAATCTATGTATGAGGTATTATTTTACTTAACAAGGCCACTCGTAGGTTATCCAATCAAATGCTGTGCCAAAGGCTCAACAGAGAAGTCTGGTGGTGTTCATCTGAGTTAAATTCAAAACAGTCTTCTCCTCGGATAAAAAGTGTTAAATTATTATTTTTATATATGAATGTTTCTGTTCAGTGCCCTGGATGACTTCTGTTGTGACTTGGTGCTACTGTAAACCGTAAATAAATAAACTGAATTGAATCGACTCTCAGGGGTTTAAGGTAAAACGAGGACATCTGGTGTTGGAAAATGGGACTGCAGGTGGAAATTTGAGTCCTAACAGTGTGCAACATCAGACACCAAAACTAATCTTAATATAAATGTTCAGAAGTGTTCTTGTTGATTAGGAAAGTCTTCATTGTATCTATAGTTCTATTTTGTTACAGCTTATATGAATATTTGTCATGAATCATTAACTTTAACAGGATTTGAAAATAACCTCTTGTTTTTGTCTGTATTTCATATTTTCACAATTGTTCCCTTTTACCACTCGATTGTTTGCATGTTTCTGTTCTGATCATTCCTCTGTCTTCAGTTTCTTACAGTGAATATTTGTTTGTTTGTTTTTGAAGGACTGTGAGAAGTTGCTGCCAGGCGGCATGGCAGAGTTGACTTCACTGTCTTTCCATCGTCGGTCCTACAAAGGCAGGAGCACAGATTCCTCCCACCTCTGCCTTGGTGCTGCAGAGACGCTGTCCCTCCGCAGGTCTAATCCTCTTCCCCAGAAACTCCTCGCTCACTTTACAGAAGGAGCTGCAGCTGACACAGTCAGCCCCTACATGTTTCGTTTCTCAGGGGCAGGATTTGCCTACTACGCTCCGGGACCGGAGACCTCGGTGTGAGACGATGGGAAAACCAAAAGAGTCTGCGGTATCGCCCCGAGATGTGTGACGAAGTCCTGCGTTGGTTTTACAGAACGACGTGTTGAAACACTTCAGAAGCTCTGCTCCATGCTCAGTTCATGCGCATTTCCTGGTCTACACCTGAATGGACAACTTTTTTAGATCGAGTTGCCGTCGTACTTTTATAATTTCATGCTTTTTGCGCCGCCTCTGTCCTTATCGTTTTAAAGTTCCCTCTAAAACTTTTACTCAAAACATTCTGGGACTTTGTGCAACGGTGTTATTGCTTTTCAGAACAGTTTTGAACCTTTTTCAAACCTCATTTTTATTATCTAGTTTTTGGCTCCTCCACTTTTTTGTCATTTTTTGCTTTTGTGCAAATGTTTGTTAAAAACATTTCTGTACATTATGTGGTCTGGCCAAGTAATGGGGTAGCTCAGCTCAACCCTTTAGGTATGTGTGTGTATGTGTGTGTGCATGTGTGCAAAGGTACGCATGTAATTGCCTGTTATTGTATGTTTGTATGTGACACACTTTTGCCTTATAGGTATAAAACAGAAGGCTAAGAAGCTAAAAAAGAAATAGAAAAAAGGATTTGGTGTCTTACAAAGCCTTACAAACACACTCATCAGCTGAAGGAGACGTGGAAAGACTCTAAGGGGAAGTGCAGTATTTTAGCCACACTGCCTTAATTCATATCTAACATTTTAGTTAATTTAAACAGAGTACTATAGGAGGTTCACTGGGCAACATGTCTATTATTTATTTCTTCTTTACCTGCACCGTTGTGTTAAACTTTGTTGTTTTTTGTCCATCATTGTAGCATGTTGGACTGTCTCTGCATGCTTAAATAATCTCCATCATCGTTTGTCTCATTAGGAACACATGAGGGCACTTTTTCTTTCCCCTGAGCAGTGAAACAGCGTGTGCTCTCTGCTGCCACCGTGTGGCAGTTTTGAGTAAGAGCCTGGAACTGGTGGGCTATTATTTATTAAATGTCCTAAAAGGCTTGCTATCCCTCACTGTTGCAATGTGCTTGTGTATTTGCTGCCATGCTGTGTGTCATGCAAATGCTAATGCCAGAATGCTAAAACTATGTAGTCATGTTTAGGTGTGTCTCTGTGTTGCGTTACTTATACGTTCTTCTGTACGGCTCTAAAATGATGTCACTGCTTTACGTCTGGACGTTACAATCTTTTTGCTACATATGGAAAGAAGAAGTGTTATCGCGTTGATGCAGCTTGTTATAAACAGGAAGGGCGACTTGAATCGGCGACGTCACAATCAATAAGAATGTTGAACTGATTTGTCCATCATGTCCTCCAGGTGAAGATTGTAGCTCATAATGGATGAACCTCTTTTCTGCATCTCTAACAGCATTTCTTTATTCCAAAGCATATCTGTCTGGTTGCGTAGAAAGTTACTGACTCTGGAAGTCTTGAATGTGACATTCTTGAAGCATTTTTTTTTTATATGTTTATACAGTTTATTTTCATACACATCACCATCTGCCAACTTGTATAGATTTGATAACAGGTGTTCGGTATTTTTCTACTGGGGCAGAGATAATTTATTTGTTTTATGGGCGTTATCGGTTCGTCTCGTTCGTTTAGAACTTCTGTACGTGTTGAGGAGCTCAACGTTCTCACTTTGGTCATGTTAAAGGACAGGTCTTGGTATCAATGATGGCTTCCCACTTCACTGTGCTTTGCCATAATGCATCCAAACACACGTTACATGTTGTGTACCAGCCCTACTACAGTTTAATGCTGTAAAGTTTAGTTAATTTACATGACTCAATGCTTTAAACGCTTTTCGAGCATCCAAGTCCTTACATTTTGAGGTCACCCTTCTCGTTTGTCATTCTTATGTTGTCTATTGTGAATATTTCTTTTGACTACTTTTGTATCTCAGAGAGAAGATTATATTTTAACTCTGTTAGAATGTGTTGAAGTTTGTAACCAAAATGAGAGTAAAACATAAATTATATTGTTTAGTCCTACACACTGCACTTTGTTTCTCAACGGTTTAGTTTGATGCTAAAAACAAGGTCTATTGTCTGTCAGCTGGAGTTTAAAGTTCACTCACAAGTTATTTTTCTAAGATTGTGCCGTGGTGAGCGGGGGTAAAACAAAAGAAGTGACCAAATGAGTAGACTGGGAATGAACTGTCTGCAGGTGCCAGCCTTTGTCTCAGTGGGTTTATATCACACCAGCCTTCTATTGCAGATCAGAATGTCAAACTGCTTTTTCTGAGTCCATCAGCACAACAGCAGGCGCTCGTCCTGCTCCTCCTGAGCTCGGCGAAGGTCTGAAATGTCAACCGATGTGTTCTGAGCAGCACACTTCATATCATACCTTTAGTATGACACTTTGTATTACCGAACTGTTTTTGACAAATTAGCCCTCTTCCTTTTGGATTTTTTGTTTTTGAATAAAGATTTTAAAATGTTCCCATGTTGACTTTTTGCCAGCCTGTCTGTAGCAAACGAAGACGAAGCACTGTATTGTCATTCTGCTTGTAATAAAGAAAGAAGGGTAAAAAAAAAAGTTTGTTAGTATTTGTGGAAAGTTTTTCTAATTGTGTCATTTTTGTCTGCATCAGGAAAAAAAAAAATCAGATTAAGTGAGTTTCTGTGGAGTTATCAGTAATCAATATCTTACCTGCAGCAGAAAACTCAAGATATTTTTAGATTTGGAATACTCGTAGTTTGAGTAGGACAGATTAAAGTATGTTAATTTACTGTATATTGTAAAAGTGACTGCAGTTATTTGTAAAACTGGACCCACCTGGTTTGAAGATGGGTCCCCTCAACCAAACCATCAAAACATTTTGAGCTCATTTTAGACAACGGCTCACATCTGCTCTCTGACATGCTGGGCAGCAGTGGTGTGGACTCAAGTCACATGACTTGGACTCGAGTCATTAATATTTATATAATATTTAATATTAACTTTAGGCTTGACTTGAAAAAATGTTCTGAGATTTATGGCTTGACTTCAGTTTATTTATATAGTGCCAATTCACAACAGAAGTCGCCTCAGGGCACTGAGCAGAAACGTTCATATATAAAAATAATAGAGTTTCTTTGTCATTCGCAGCACATGTGGTACATGTGGAACTAAGTTGTGTACTCAGGGTCCCAGTTACATCCAACTATAAGACGTAAAAGAAAAACAGTAACAAGATCTAAGATATGAACTAAGAAAAACATCAACTTAAAATACGCTAAGCACTGATATAAAAGCAATACGCCGAACAGCAGCACGAACATGAGTCTGTGTGAGCATGAATGAACACAGCAACATGATGGGATTTTTCACATTAATTATTCTGGTTAGAGATTCATGAGTCTACCAGCTTCAGGGTAGAAGCTGTTCCTCAGTCTAGTGGTTCTACACTTAATGCTCCTCAACCTCCTTCCTGAGAGGAGCGGGGCAAAAAGTGTGTGCTGGGTGAGTGGTGTTTTTCATGATGCGTGGGGTAGCAGACTGCTTTGAGTTTAACTCCATCGCAGAACTTTCATCTTGATCAAGCATGAAGGCGACAGTGGAAAGAAAAAACTCCCTCACAAAAAAAAAAAAAACCTTTAGCAGAACCAGGCTCAGGACAAGCGGCCATCTGCTTTTACCGGCTGGGTTTGAGAGGAACAGATACACAATGGCAGATCAAGAGTCACATGTTAAGATAGAAATAGTATCAAATGAAAACTATTAATTTTAACAATTCATTTAAGGAAATGAGATCAAGTTGTTCTCTAGTAGTCTAAGCCTGTAGTAGCATAACAAGCCAACCCTAACTATAGGATTTATCAAAAAGGAAAGTTTTAAGCCCAGTCTTAAAACTGGACAATGTGTCAGCCTCACGGACAGAAACTGGAAGTTGGTTCCACAAGATGACTGATAATGACTGACTTGGATTTTTACACCAATGACTTGGTTCAACCTCTGCTGGTCAGTTTCACATTCTGTAATTGACTTGTTAACCCATGAAATACCAACAAACACAGAAAATCCCTCCTGCCTGTGGTCACCTGAATGTAAAACTACGGGTACTTTGTGGTAACTCAAAAGCTAACGAAGGATTTTTTGGTCATAATTTCCCTAAATATTTAATTGTTTTTGCTGTGTGAATGTTTTGTTTTTAATTTAGTTGTTTTTCTTCCTTTTGTCATTGCTGAGTTATTGAATTGAGTCTTAATTGTGTATTTTAGTTTAATTTATTTTCAGTTTTGTATGCTTTTCAGTTGCTTTAACCAAACAGTTTCATATTAGGGATCCATGTCAAATTAAACTGAAAAAAGTTTTGTTTGAGCAGACCCTTCCCAAAGCAAATCCAGTGTTTAAAATTTCATCTCAGTTTACGCAAAGGCAATTTGATAAACTTTTACATTGTTGTCATTTTTGAATTGCACAGTTATTTTGGTTAAATAGATAAATAAAATTAAAAAAGGTCTATTTTACACAAGTCGCCAAGGGCTACATTTTATTACATTAAAATAAACTTCGGCTTTTAGCTATTTGCACAGAACAACCAGCATGCACTGCTGTAAATGTAAACCCTCAGTATAAATTTGTGCCTTCTTTAATTTTTCAAATAATGATGTGAAATAGGCTATTCCTGCAGGAGTTGACATTTTGCTACACGTTGTTGCCATTAATTCTTGCTAATAACACAGAATAAAGTGTATATAATTTTGTAACAATAGCAGCTATCAATCAGAGTTATTATTACTTCAGGCAAGCTACTAGTTACTGATAATTTCCTAGAAACAGTTCAGAAATCTGTATTTCTTTACACCTGTCATTACAAAAGCTGCTATTTTATATTGTCCAGCGAGGGGTCCTCAGTCCACCAGAAGTAAACAACTTCTCATTACAGTTTCTCTGAATCCTAATCCTCATCATATAATACTAATACATATAATACTAATACTCATCCCTCCTGTCTTCAGCATAACACTACCACGGTTTTACTTTCCCTACAAAATAAAAGCTTGTCATTTTCACTTGTTTCTTGTGGAACACTTTCAGTCTTAGTTTAAAGTGCTTGCATGCATATCCCGCAAATACAAAAAGTGGGAGAAGGCATTTTATTTTTTAGGAAATTGACTGGGACGTGCACAGATAGACTTCAGGTGGTACTAGAGCACAGTATGTGGCCCTTGGTGGCATTTCTGGATTAAAAAGCTTACAGTATACT